GAGGTAAGGCTGTCCCCCAGGAGGGATGGCTGCGAACCAGCCCAGCTCCCGAGGCTTAAGGAGACCGAGGTGGGGCCTTGGGCTCCAAGCCCAAGGGGTTGGCAAAGGTGGGGGACTGGGGGCTGGATTGGGGGGGGTCAGTTCTCAGCAGCTTGACACCCCTCCCAACAGGCAACCACCTCTTCGTGGACACGGTGCTGCCTGACCTGGCCGTGGGGCTCATCCTGCTGGCCGGCTCCCTGGTGCTGCTGTGCACTTGCCTCATCCTCCTCGTCAAGACGCTCAACTCTCTGCTCAAGGGCCAGGTGGCCAAGGTCATTCAGACCATTATCAACACTGGTGAGCGCCAAGCAGGGGGGGAAGGGGGAGGAGAGAGCAGGGCCCCAGATTGGGCCCTTCCGGATCCCACTAGCTCCTGCCTTGCTGTGCGATCTGGGTAAAGCCCTACCACACCTGAGCCTCAGTTTCCCCGTGTGAACAAAGAAGAGGTTTGCCTGGGTGATTTCTGAGGCCCCTGAGATGCCGGCCGCTGGGGGTCTGTGGTGCCTCTGGCTATGGTTCCATTCCAGCCGGAGCTCCAAAAAGATTAACAGGGGCCTCTGCTCGACTGAATCAACAAATAGTCATCAAGCCTTCACCATGGGCCAAGCGCGCTGTAGTGCTGGGAGTGCAGAGGTGAGGCACGCAGCCTAGGGCGGGAGATGGCAATGAAAACCAGCTTAGGGGGGAGGGGAGAAAACGCCAAGGAGAAAGCAAAACGGACAGCACCACAGGGAACAGAAGAGGCTGCTTTGGCCAGTAGCCTCTGTGCTGATGTGACATTTGAGCAAAGACCTAAATGGAAAGGAGTCCAGATGTGGGTGGAGGGAACAGCAGTGCCGAGGCTTGGAGGCAGGGACCAGCTGGGCAGGTTTGCAGCACAGAAAGGTAGCCACCAGCATCCTGGCCGGAGCTCCGTGAGGGAGGCGGAGAGAGGCAGGGAGCCGTCAGAGAGGTGAGGAGGAGCAGATCACAGGCCGCAGGCTGCGCTCAGAGCCTGGACTTCATTGAGGATAATGGGGGCAGTTGGGGGGTTGAGGGCAGCAAGTGGCACCGTCTGATTCTTATTGGAAGCTTCATTCTGCACAGGCAGAGGCTGCATGGCGCGCGCGGGAAAGGAGCTTGGAGGAGGGCGGAGGTGGAACAGTCTGCCTGAGCCTGGTCAGGAGGGCTTTCTGTGGCAGCGATGTCCACCCTGGCCTGCAGGGGGACTCTAAGAGTGGGGAGGATAGGCAGGCCAAGGGGACAGAGTCAGGCTGAGAGGAGCCTTCAGCCCAAGATCAAAGGGCCAGGAGAGGCCTCCCAGCTGAGCAGGGGACTGGCAAAGGTCCCATTGGAAATGGGCCTCCAAGCCCTCCTCCCCAAGGAGTTCCTCTCCGGTCCCAACCCTCCCCCTGACCCTGCTGGGATGGTTCCCCCCACAGACTTCCCCACCCCCTTCACCTGGGTCACCGGCTACTTCGCCATGGTGGTGGGTGCCGCCATGACATTCGTTGTCCAGAGCAGTTCCGTCTTCACCTCGGCCATGACCCCACTCATCGGTGAGTGCTCACGGGGGTGGCAGGGGAAGGGGTTGAGGGGGGAGCTGGAAGACCACATCTTCCTCTCTTCCCCCCTCAGGCCTGGGTGTGATCAGCATTGAGCGCGCCTACCCCCTCACACTGGGCTCCAACATCGGCACCACCACCACCGCCATCCTGGCCGCCCTGGCCAGCCCCCGCGAGAAGCTGTCCAGTGCCTTCCAGGTGTGCCTGGGGGCGTAGCCCTGCCAGAGCGAGGACCGGGCTGGCCCATGGTGGGGCACTGAGTAACAAATTGTTGACTGTTAACTAGGCCACCGGCTATGCCACCGTCTGTGGCAACCATATGGGCAGAATAGGGCTGGTGCCACCCTCAGGACCTTGCTGTCTACCAGGGAGACTCAGAGCCGCACCAATAAAGAGCGGGTGGGATGCACTCTGAGGGAGAGGTGCTGTAAGAGGGGGCCTGGCCAGTCTGGGGGGATCAGGATGAGTGGGGGGGACACGGCAGAGGAGTGGCTGTTGGAGGAGAAGTAGTAACCACAGGCAGGGGATCAGGTCACTATGGGGACCCATCAGGAGGCCAGAATTGCTGAGGCAGGAATTAGAAGTCCTTTAGCTCCTGGATTTGGACAGGATCTCTGCGGGATACCTAGGAGAAGGGTTCGAGGGGGAGACATGGGGAGTTCGGGCAGTAGTTATTTGCCAACTGACCCAGAAGTGTTTCAGTATTTTACTGGGGTCACAGATGTCCCTTCTGCCCAGACCAAGCCGGGCCCCTATATCTGTTCCCTTGGGAGTGTCCTGGCTTGGGAGTGGGCCCATGCCCACCTCAGCTCCTTGGCCCTCTTCTCTGCAGATCGCCCTCTGCCACTTCTTCTTCAACATCTCAGGCATCCTGCTGTGGTACCCGGTGCCCTGCACCCGCCTGCCCATCCGCATGGCCAAGGCCCTGGGCAAATGCACCGCCAAGTACCGCTGGTTTGCCGTCCTCTACCTCCTGCTGTGCTTCCTCCTGATGCCCTCACTGGTGTTTGGCATCTCCATGGCAGGCTGGTGGGCCATGGTGGGCGTGGGTGCGCCCTTCGCGGCCCTGCTGGCCTTCGTGGTGCTCGTCAATGTCCTGCAGAGTCGCAGCCCCAGGCACCTGCCCAAGTGGCTGCAGACATGGGACTTCCTGCCCCGGTGGATGCACTCCCTGCAGCCCCTGGACCGCCTCATCACCCGCGCCACCCTGTGCTGTGCCAGGCCCGAGCCGCCCCACTCGCCCCCACTGCCCCCCAGGGTCTTCCTGGAGGAGCTGCCCCCTGCCACACCCTCTCCCCGCCTTGCCCTGCCTGCTCACCACAATGGCACCCGCCTCTAGGCTTCAGCCCAGACTGCCAGGTGGGGCGAGGAAAGGCCTATGCCTGGTGCCCAGGGTGAGAGGGCAGAGGGGTGTGTCTGCGTACACACTCCTGTCCTTGTGCAGGCCCTCCGAGGTCTGGGCTGTGTGACCGAGTTGCTGTGTGAGCCTGTGTCGGCCTGCATGTGTCCCCCACGGAGCACCTGGGGTGGCGCTGCAGGCTGCAGGGCCCCTGTGATGACTCGTCCTTTGCACATTGTCTGGAGGCTGGTGCTTGTGTACTTGTGTCCACGCAACTCCAACGGGGCTGGTGGGGACGAGGGTGGTCTCAGCACCTGGCTCCTAACTGTTTGCTCATGCACAGGTGTCCCTGGCTGAATTCTCACCCTCTCCCTTCCACCCCTTCCTCCACTCCATTCTCCTCATCCCACCCAGCTCTCTGCATCACTGCTACAGCCCCCTTCCCCAACACTGCCTGATTTTAAAAAGGAAAAAAGGAATTAAACGTTCATTATGCATTTGAAAATCTGTTCTCATTCTGGGGGAGGAGAGACCATAGCTAGGGGTTCGGCAGCACCATCTCCCCTCCCAAGGACAGCCTGCTGTGCCCTGGGAGACCAGCCCATAAGCTCACCCCACAATTTCCCGGCCCCGTCCTTAATGAGTCCAATCCACAGCTCAGACTCCCTGAAAGCCCCCCAGTGTCTAGGGGCCACCCCCAGGGCCAATGTTAGCAGGGCTCTCTTACCTCCAGCCCCAGCCCACCAGGCTGACCTCTGGTTTCTCCTGGCCTCTGGACTCGACTCCCTCACTGACTCCCTCCCTCTCTCCCGCATGAGATCAATTCTCCCCAAAGCAAGTGGCATGTGGGGCTTATCAGGACCACTGTGGGAGGGGATCAGGAGGGTCGAAAGGCACAGGACAAGCCAGGATTCAGGGGGGCAGGAACCAGCCATCCTCCCTCCTCCTACCTTTGTCCATCTTTGACAATGAGCCACATCTCATGTAGGTTTTCAAAACCCACTCAAGTTTCCAATTCCTCTTCCTCTGTAGCCTTCCCCCCACCCCAGCTGAGGCCTACAGGGGAGGGTCCAGGGGAGGGAGGCGCCAACGTTCCTCCCTCTAGTCCAGGGATATCTGTGGAGCCTGTGGACCCCAAGGGGACTGGAGGCTGCAGGGCTCAGACGTGGCTGTGTGATCTTGGACACATTCCTCCACCCCACCCTCTGGGAGGTGTGTGGGGAAGAGGCAAGAGGCTGGGAGCCGCCGATGGTTTTGGCTCATCGTTGATGTTTCTATCTTTCTCTTTCTCTCCCTCTCTGAAATCAATAAAAACTTTTTTTTTTAAAAGATGCCACATCAGCCCTAACCAGTTTGGCTCAGTGGTAGAGCGTCAGTCTGCGGACTGAAGGGTCCCGGGTTCGATTCCGGTCAGGGGCATGTACATTGGTTGCGGGCACATCCCTGGTAGGGGGTGTGCAAGAGGCAGCTGGTCGATGTTTCTCTCTCATCGACGTTTCTAGCTCTCTATTTCTCTCCCTTACTCTCTGTAAAAAAATCAATAAAATATATTAAATTAAAAAAATTAAAAAAAAGAGGCTGGGAGCCCCAGAGACGCTCCCCAAGCTGCCAGCCACACCCTGTCACCTACTCACAGCCCCTGCCAGTGCTTCCTCTAGCTAAGTGGAAGAGGCTAGAAGCACAAGGAGGTCCAGCCTGGGGAGGGGCGTGGGGCGGTGGGAGGAGACTCCCTCGGGGTTCATGCTGCAGGCTGTGGGGAAAGTTTTGTGGGAAAGGATGCTCAGGTCTGAGCTAGAGGGTTTGAGAAGGCTACTGCCTGGGACTCCTGCTCAGCTTCGGTGTCCCTAGGACCCTGGGAGTCTCCGAGGCCCACGCCCCAGACTCTGGCCTGGGAAGTCAGGTCAGAAGCCTCTGCAGGGCACGCAATGGAAGTGATAATACCCACTCCACCAGTGACCTTTCTGCGAGGACCTTCCAGGAACCGGTGTCCTCTTCAGCAACCCCTCCCACCCCCGCCCTCCTCCCCACTCCCCACCCCCATCCCTACTCCCTGCAACCCAAGGACGAGTCCGCCATTCCCAGGTCTGAGTTTATTTTGTCTCCGCTGACAACTGGCTGTTGTGCTAGGTGCCCTGAATGCGCAGCCAGTGGATCAGCTCGTGCACCTTCTTGTTGAGGATGCCCCCGTGCACGCCGCGCCGGGCCATGAGCACGAGCAGCGCGCGCGGCGTGTAGCCCACGCAGACGGCGCGCCCGTCCAGCCCCTTGGTGCGCGCGTCCAGCACGCCGTCGCCCTCCGCCAGCAGGTGGTCTCGGATGACGCAGCAGCGGCGGCCCGCCACGCTCAGGCCGGCCTGCAGGAAGGTGCACCGGTCCTGCCCGGTGAGCACACCCACCTCCTGTGGTGAGATGGCTGCCAGCAGGCCCCCGGGCCGGGAGGCCCAAACACAGCGATTGTCTGAGTGGCCCACGATGGCGACGTCGTCGATGCGCTGGTCCTGCAGCACTGCGCTGATGTAGGCTTTCCACTCGCCCATTCCGGCTCAGAGTCGGTCCCTCCCTCCCTCGCCTTGCACTGCGGAGGGTTGCCGGCTGCTCTGGCTACAATGCGTGGGGCACTGTGACGGAGGTGAGGGCGGGGCTGTGACGCTGAGGCTGGCGGGATCGCTGACCCGCTACCTTCCGCTGGAGAATGGGGGCGGGGTTGTATCTGTCACCTGGTGAAGTTCACATTTAGCCTGAAGGAGGAGGTTGCATGAGCGTCAAAACAATCCTTGAAAACCAATTTAGATGGCCCAGCAAGCACAGTGCACATGGGTTTAAAAACAAAAAGGTGCGCCTGGCAGGTGTGCCTCATGGTTCAGCGTGGACCTATGAACCAGGAGTTCAGGGTTTGATTCCTGGTCAGGGCACATGCCCGGGTTGTGGGCTCCATCCCCAGTACGGACAACTGGGGATGTGCCTGCAACCAAGGCACATGCCCTTGACAGGAATCGAACCTGGGACCTTTCAGTCCACAGGCCAATGACCCAAACTGGTTTTGGCTCATCGTTGATGTTTCTATCTTTCTCTTTCTCTCCCTCTCTGAACTCAAAACAACTTTTTATTTTTAAAGATGCCACATCAGCCCTAACTGGTTTGGCTTGGTGGACAGAGTGGCAGCCTGAAGGGTCAGGGTTTGATTCTGGTCAGAGGCACATCCCCAGAGAGTGTGTGGGTGTGGTGTGCAGGAGGCAGCTGATTGATGTTTCTTTCTCATCAATGTTTCAGACTCTCTCTCCCTCTCCCTTCCTCTGTAAAATAAATAAACAAATAAATAAATAAATAAATAAAATATATATATTTTTTAAAATAAAAAGCTGCCACATCTGGACAGTGGGGCCTCTCCGCCTGGTCCCCAGAACATGGTTCTCTAATGTTAGGAGCTCCAGAATCGCCTGGAAAGCTGTGATACAGACCGCTGGGCCCCAGCTCAGAGTTTCTGCTTCAGTAGTATGGCGTGTACCCTGAAACTGTGCATTTCTACAAATTCCCTGGCACCACTGCTGCTGCTGGTCCCAGGTTAGCATTCTGAGGCCCTAACAGGGTTGGGTGGGAGTGAGGGACTCCACTCTGGTGGTCAGCCTGAAGGCTCCACATCCGTTTTAAGGTTGAGCATTTCTAACCCCGGTCCCACCCCCGCCTGAACATGTCATCACCTGAGAGCTTTTAAAACATACCACTTGGCCCGTGCCCCATCCCTAATTGCTCTGCGGTGGATCTCTGTCATAGGTTCTGACATACAGTTGAGGTTGAAAACTCTGGAAATTTAAAATATGAATGTCTCATGTGAGGAATAATATGTGGAGCCACTCTGCACAGGGCTCAGCAAGAGTCAGCTGGACAAGAATCTAAATCTTGCCTAAGATCCCAATATGTCCTGTTCTCTAGGGGCCGTGGAGAAGCTGCGCCCCGGCATTTCCCGGCAGGAACGCGAAGAGCTGTGCCTCTGGAGCATTTCCAAAAGCGCTTTATTGAGTGTTTAGACAGTGCCTGGAGCCGGACTGACGGCGCTGGCACACATCCTGTGGTCCAGGATCGGGTCCAGCCATCTTCCCATCCCAGAACGACCGAGGAAAGGAGGCGTTCCGGACGGTCAGGAAGCCATGCGCTCCTGGATCCACTCCAGGTAGCTGGCCACATCAGTGTACACGCCCGGCTTGTTACGGTCGCCACAGCCCGAGCCCCAGCTGACCACGCCTCGCAGGGTGAGCTGACGCTCTTGGTCTTCATCCTCACACACCAGCGGGCCCCCGGAGTCACCCTGGGTGGAGACACACAGCTCGGCGCCCTGGGCCTGGGCTCTGCACTTGACGGGGCGGGGCAGGACGTCCTGGGCCTGGGGTCTGCACTTGACGGGCGGGGTTGGGCGCGAAGCAGGCCCCGAGGCTCACCTGGCACGCGTCTGTGCCACCCTCGGCGAAGCCCGCGCAGAGCATGCCGGGGAGGAAGGCGGCGCCGTGCATCTCCCGGGCGGAGCAGCGCTCGTGCGGGATCAGCGGCACCTGCGCCTCCTGCAGAAAGCTGGCGTACTCCTCCGCCCCTGGGGGCGAAGAGCGTGTCCATCCCGCCGCTCCCAACCCGGCGCCCCGCCTGGACGGTGGGCCTGGCCGCACCAGGCTTTCCCAGATCCGCTGGTCACCCGCCTCCCCTGCTACGAGCCCGGGAGGGAGGCAGCCGCTGGCAGCACATCCATAGACCAAGAAGCGGGCCCGGGAGGAGCGGGATGTGAACGGGATGTGCACGGGCGGGGCGGGGCGGAGCAGGACTTCCTCTTCCCGGACAGCATCTCAGAACCTCAACTCCCCACCCTGTTCGTTCGAGCGCAGGGCCGGTGACCTACTTAGCATGGCAGCCCAGTGTCCAGTGGGCACCAAGAGGAAGTGTGATTCTCCTTGTACTCCTCAGGGGTTTGGGGGGGGGGGCGGAGAGACAACAGTGAACCCCAGGCCCTGGGAGCGGTGGCTGCAGAGACAAGGGCCCTGCGCGTCCTCACAGCCCGGCAGGCCGTGCCTCCTGTCCCTGGGGATGGATACCAAAGCGGCGGGCTTTCCTTGCCCACCCGGCGCCAGAGGTCTCCCTCCCGCCCCCAGCGGGTCTACCTACCCTCGAATTGGTGGCCCCAGCCGGCTACCTCGCAGGGCGCGGCCTCGGGCTCCGTGGGGCGAGCGGCGCTGCTCGGCAGGCAGACGGGCCCCACCGTGGGCGACGGGTGCGCGCAGCTGCCGTCCTCGCGCTCCTGCAGGTGCAGCAGCGCTGACCCGGGGAGGGAGAGGGGGTGGGGGGAGCGTGAGGCCCGTGCGCCGGCCTCCGAGCCCCCCTACCCCCCCTCCCCCATCCCGGGGGGCGCCCCCGCGCACCCAGGTCGTGCTGGTAGGTGACGGGGGAGAAGGCCTCGTGCAGGTGGTAGGCGCGCACGGCCAGGGTCTGGCACCGCGCGCAGCTGTGGTTGTGGCGTTCCTGGCCCAGAACCACCGTCAGCTCCTCGGGCGCCGGCCTGCGGGCGGGGCGGGAAGAGGAGGCTCGTTCAGCGCCGGCCGTGGGCGGCCAGGAGGAGCCCCCTGCTCCGGAGCCCCTGCCTGGGTTTCAGCTTCCTCCTGGGGAGCGTTGGAGGGGGAAGGGCGGGTGAGGGCATGGGTTGGGGTGTCGCGCGGCCTGAGCCTGCGCCGGGCGGCGGGCGGTACTGGCCGGTTCTGCAGGCAGTGAGCCGCGGTCAGCACCCAGCAGGGGGCGATGAGGCTGCCGGCGCAGAAGCTCTGGCCCCAGTACAGCGCGGCGATGTAGGGGTGCGCGCCGGGCAGCGCCACGAGTCCCCCGACGACGCGTTTGTGGGAGGACAGCCGTTTCCGGAGCCGCTGTCCGCAGACGGGGATCTGCTCCTCCTGCGTCCAGCCGGAGCTCTGGATCAAGGGAGGCAGCTCCGGCATCTCGAAGACCCTGGGGTGCTCCTCCCGCATCGCGTCAAACTGCAAGACCGGGTGCCGCCGCTCCGGCATCAAGCCAGGGCCTGGGGCGGAGTCCATTCTGGGGACAGGGAAAGCCACGAGTGGTCAGAGCTGTGCGCAGTGCCAGGCCCTGGCCGCGCGCCTGCCACCCGCACCTACTTTATGCCCTCTCCGTTCCAAATATCCGGGATCTTTGGTAGAAGCGAGGTCTGGGTCGTGGCCTGAGGCTCCTGTACTGAAAGGGAGGGTAAGGGGGGCTCCTGGCGCCCAAGGGGTGCCTGCGGGGGAGGCTGGGTCTGGGGCGCTGCTGGGCACCGTGGCAGGTCGCAGTATTCCCAGCTCAGCCGGTTGTCGCTCCACACGTAACACCACGGGTGGGTGTCGTTGTCTGGGTTCCTGTAACCACAGGAGAGGGAGGGCCTTTTGGAGTTGGGGAGCCCCAAAGGGCCCTGGAAAGGAGGGGGACGCCCTGCCCTGCCCTGCCCGCTGGGCGCACCGGCAGAAGGCATGGTGGCCCAGGCCCCACTTCAGTGCTTGCTCTGCAGTCAGGTTCTGATAGGTGGTCTCCGCCGACCACGGCTGACACGGCGCGCCCGAGACCGTGGTCCCAGCAGCGCCTCGGTAGCTGAACCCATGGCCCTCGTAGCAGTTGGACTCTTTGTCTGGGGAGAGAGGAGGCTCCCTGTAGCCAGGGCTATTGTGGTCCCCCTGCCCTGCCCTGCCCTGTCCCGTTCTCCCCTCCCCTTCCCTCATCTCCCCTACCCTCAGCTGTCTTTGGGTGCTAGCCGCAGCTCACCCTCCTCTCCCCTCCCCGTCCCCCCTCTCGTCTCTGTCTCGGTCTGAGTCTCTCCCCCTCCCCCTCTCTCTTCTCCCTCTCCATGAGCCCTCCCCATGTGGAGGCAGGCCTTCTGCCTCCAGCCAGACCTTCTGCCTCCAGCCAGACCAGACTCACCCACGTCGCAGAACCGTCCTGCGTAGCCCTCGGGACAACTGCACAGACGATGTCCCTCCGCCTCGAGGCAGCGGCCCCCGTGGAGGCATGGGTTGCTGCGGCAGACTGAGAGAAGGAGGCTCTGAGCCCCCTCTGGGCCCAAAGACCCCACCGAGAGCTCTCCCCTCCCAGAGGCACACCACCTGACCCTCGCCAGCTTCTCCTCCCTTCTCCCGACCTTTGACCTTGGGCTCTCCTCCCGGACTGGTTCCCCACCATTCACTCACCCTGGCTGGCCAGTGGCTTGCAATGGGCTTGGGGACCTTGGCACTGGCACTTGACCACACCTGCTGGCTCAAGCCTATGCCATATTTCATTCTCATGGAAGAACCGGAGAAGCTGGGGCTCGAAGCACTTCTCTGGGGACAAAGTGGGGTGCTGGTCTCCGGACAGGCTGGGACCATGCCAGGTCTCTGAGGGTCCTGGGACCTCTTCAGGCAGGGGCTGCTCCTGTTCCCCAGCCCCTGCCCACCCCCGCCCCAGCATCTCCTTACCTCTCTGGCAGTGCTTCCCGGTGAAGTGTTCTGGACAGATGCAGCGGGGCCCACCTGGCATGTTCATACAGGTGCCGCCCTGCTGGCAGGGGTTGTGTGTGCTGCAGTGGTCTGAGAGATGGGCACAGTGGGAGGAAGCAGGAACCTCAGTCAGACATAGTCTTTTGGGCTTTGTTTATCCCCATGCAAAATGGGGCTACCCCCTCCCAGAACTTCTCCCTCTGGAGGGAGGGCCCAGAATCCCAGGTGTGTCGGGTCTGATGAGACTCGGAAAAGTAACGAGGGCCAGAAGAGGGCCTGGGGCCACCCCAGAGGCTGTGTGTGGCACCTTGTACTTTCTGGGGCTCCAGGCAGTATGCCCATCGTTTGTCCTGGTCAAAGTTGGGGGTGGTAGCACACCTGGAGAAAGAGACAAGGCTCCCTGCTCTGCCCAAGGGCTGGCCCACCCTCCCGGTCACAGCCCCTCTCCAAGCAGGGTTCCTTGGGTAGAAGCAGGGCAGAGTCCATCTCCCCAGGCCCCTGCCCCAACCCCTCTGGGTCATCTTACCAGGGCCGGAAGCCAAGTCGGCCCCTGCGGGTGCACTTGTGATACAGCTGCCGTTGGTACTGGAAAGGGAAGTAGCAGGGCTCCCCAGTGACGGTGAAAACTGCAGAGAGAACACATTCTCTAACGCATTCCCTGGGCCAGTCTCCCAGGCACCGCGCTCAGGGTCTAGGTGGAAAGAACAGCCCCTCTAAAAGATCACTGTGCTGCCTGGCCCTCAGTGTGGCTCAGCTGAGCATAGACTCAGGCACTGGGAGGTCACGGTTAGATTCCTGTCAGGGCACATGCCCGGATTACAGGCTCAGTCCCCAGCGGAGGCCCTGCAGGAGGCAGCCAACCAATGATTCTCTCTCATTATTGATGTTTCTATCTCTCTCCCCCTCTCCCTTCCTCTCTCTGAAATCTTATTTTATTTTATTTTATTTTATTTTATTTTATTTTATTTTATTTTATTTACTTATTTTTTTTAAGTCACTGTGCCTTCAAACATCCTGCTTAAGAAGTTGGGTCCACATGCATATAAGCCTAACTATATGAGGTCATGGACAACAGGGGTTAGAGTATACGTGGGGAGGGGTTTGGGATGGGGATGGGGGAATGAGGACAATTATGTGATACCATAATCAATAAAGAAATTTTAAAAAGAAGAAGAAGAAGTTGGGTCCAAGAGTTAGATAGTTGGATTGGTCTCAGACTCCAGGACCTACTAGGTGTATGACCTTGTGCAAGTCTGCAGCTGCCCCCATACACACACACACACACACACACACACACACACACACACACTCTAGAAGAGTGCTTGCTACAAAGGAAGTGCTTTATCAATGCTTGTTGAATGTTGAAGTCACTTGACCACGCTGAACCTCAGTTTCCTCATTTGTAAGACAGCAATAACAATGGTACAGTCAGCCGAAACCGGTTTAGCTCAGTGGATAGAGCGTAAGCCTGCAGACTGAAAGGTCCCGGGTTCGATTCCGGTCAAGGGCATGTACCTTGGTTGCAGGCACATCCCCAGTAGGGGGTGTGCAAGAGGCAGCTGATTGATGATTCTCTCTCATTGATGTTTCTAACTCTCTATCCCTCTCTCCTCCTCTCTGTGAAAAATCAATAAAATATATTTTAAAAATATAATGGTACAGTCAAAGCGTTTTAGTTTTGCAAAATGAAGAGTTCTGGAGACAGGTGGTGATGATGGTTGCACAATATGAATTCACTTAATACCACTGAATTATACCCTTAAAAAGGGTTAAGACAGAAAATTTTATGTTATGTGTATTTTACAACAATAAAAAATGTAAATGATGATGTAGATATATTAGTACAGAAAGGTGTTCATAATTTGTTTACTTATTTTTATTATTTTTTAATATATCTTTATTGATTTCAGAGAGGAAGGGAAAGGGAGAGATTTATACATCAATGAAGAGAGAGAATCATTGATTGTCATGCCCTCCACTAGGGATTGAGCCCACAACCCTGGGCAAATGCCTGACTGAGAATTGAACCATGACCTCCTGGTTTATAGGTCAATGCTCAACCACTGAGCCATACTGGTCAGGCACTTTTATTATATTTTTAAATCCTTATTCGAGAACTGATTTGGGGTTTACAAATAAATTTGTAAACATGCTTAGAGAGAGGGAAGAGAGAGAGAGAAACATGTGAGAAACATCAATCAGTTGCTTTCCATGTTTCCCAACTGGGGATTAAACCTGCAACCCAGGTATGTGCCCTGTCCAGGAATCAAAAGGGCAACTTTTTAGTGCATGGATGACACTCATCCAACTGAGCCACTCCATCTGGGAGGGTATTCATATTTACATGAAGAATACCAACTTATAAACAGCATGTTTGGTATGATTTTATTTTTGTTTCTTTAAAAAAAATTTTTTTTTATTTATTAAATTATTATCTGTGTACATATTTTAACATTGCCCCCCCCCACATACCCTCCCTCCCCAGAGTTTTGTGTCCATTAGTTGTACTTATATGCATGTATACAAGTCCTTCGGTTGATCTCTTATCTCCCCCAGATCTCCCTACTCTCCCCGGTGTAATTTTACAGTCTGCTTGTTGCTTTACCGTCTTTATATCTATCTTTTGGTTTGTCAGTTTATAATGTTTTTTAATGTCCATAAATGAGTGAGGCCATGTGGTATTTCTCTTTTATTGACTGGCTTATTTCACTCAGCATAATGTTCTCTAGTTCTATCCAGGTTGCTGCAAATGATGAGAATTCCTTCTTTTTTATGGCCGCATAGTATTCCATTGTGTAGATGTACCATAGTTTTTGGATCCAATCATCTGCTGACGGGCACCTAGGCTGTTTCCAGATTCTAGCTATTGTAGATTGTGCTGCTATGAACATAGGGGTGCATATATCCTTTCTGATTGGTGTTTTTAGTTTCTTGGGATATATTCCTAGGAGTGGGATTAGTGGGTCAAATGGGAGTTCCATTTTCAGTTTTTTGAGGAAACTCCACACTGTTCTCCACAGTGGTTGCACCAGTCTGCATTCCCATCAGCAGTGCATGAGGGTTCCTTTTTCTCCACAACCTCGCCAACACTTGTCGTTTGTTGATTTGTTGATGTTGGCCATTCTGACAGGTGTGAGATGGTACCGCATTGTTGTTTTGATTTGCATCTCTCGGATAATTAGTGACCTTGAGCATGTTTTCATGTGCCTTTTGGCTTTCCTTCTGTCTTCTTTTGAAAATATTCTATTTAGATCCATTGCCCATTTTTTAATTGGATCATTCATCTTCCTTTTATTTAGTTGTATAAGCTGTTTGTAGATGTTGGAGATTAAACCTTTATCAGTGGTAACATTTGCAAATATGTTCTCCCACACAGTGGGTTTTCTTGTTGTTTTGTTGATGGTTTCTTTTGCTGTAAAAAAGCTTTTTATTTTGATGTAGTCCCATTTGTTTATTTTCTCTTTAGCTTCCATTGCCCTAGGGGCAGTATCAGTGAAGAAGTTCTTTTGGCATACGTCTGAGATTTTGTTGCCTGTGGATGCTTCTAGTATTTTTATGGTTTCCCTTCTGATGTTTAAGTCCTGTATCCATTTTGAGTTTATTTTTGTGCATGGTGTAAGTTGGTGATCTAGTTTCATTCTTTTGCATGTATCTGACCAATTTTCCCAACACCATTTATTGAAGAGACTGTCTTGATTCCATTGTATATTCATGCCTCCTTTGTCAAATATTAATTGAGCATAGAGATTTGGATTGATATCTGGGTTCTCGATTCGATTCCATTGATCTATATGTCTGTTTTTGTGCCAGTACCAGGCTGTTTTGAGAACAGTGGCTTTGTAATACAGTTTGAAGTCTGGTATTGAGATCCCTCCTACTTTACTCTTCTTTCTTAGGATTGCTGTGGCTATTTGGGGTCTTTTATTGTTCCAAATGAACTTTTGGAGAGTTCTTTCTAGGTCAGTGAAATAAGCTGTTGGTATTTTAATAGGGAGTGCATTAAACCTATAGATTGCTTTAGGAAGTATGGACATTTTGATGATGTTGATTCTACCAATCCATGAACATGGTATGTTCTTCCATCTGTTTATTGTAGTACTATGTCAAAGAGGAGTGGCGATAGTGGGCATCCCTGTCTTGTTCCTGTTCTTAGAGGGAATGGTTTTAGTTTTTGCCCATTGAGTATGATGTTGGCTGTGGGTTTATCATATATAGCTTTTATTATGTTGAGGTATGATCCTTGTACTCCCACCTTGTTGAGAGTTTTTATCAGGAAAGGGTGTTGGATTTTATCAAATGCTTTTTCTGCATCAATTGATATGACTATATGATTTTTATCTTTCAATTTGTTTATGTGATGTATCACATTTATTGATTTGCGGATATTGTACCAACCTTGCATTCCTGGAATAAATCCTACTTGGTCATGGTGTATGATCTTTGTGATGCTCTGCTGGAGCCGATTTGCTAGAATTTTGTTGAGGATTTTGGCATCTATGTTCATGAGGGATATTGGCCTGTAATTCTCTTTCATTGAGTTGTCTTTATCAGGTTTTGGTATTAGAGTGATGCTGGCTTCATAGAAGGAGTTTGGAAGTGTTCCTTCCTCTTGAATTTTTTGGAATAGTCTGAGGAGGATAGGTTTTAGTTCTTCCTTGAGTGTTTGGTAAAACTCTCCTGTGAAGCCATCTGGCCCTGGGCTTTTGTTTGCTGGAAGCTTTTTGATGACTGTTTCAATTTCTTCCCAAGTCACTGCTCTATTGAGATTTTTAGATTCTTCCTGATTGAGTTTTGGAAGTTTGTATTTTTCTAGGAATATGTCCTTTTCCTCCAGGTTGTTCTGTTTGTTGGAATAGAGTTGTTCGTAGTATTTTGTAACAATCCTTTGTATTTCAGCGGGATCTGTTGTTATTTCACCTCTTTCATTTCTGATTTTGTTTATTTGGGTCCTCTCTCTTTGTTTCTTGGTTATCCTGGCTAGAGGTCCATCTATCTTGTTTATCCTTTCAAAGAACCAGCTCTTGGTTTTGTTGATCTTATGTATTGTTTCTTTGGTCTCTATGTCGTTTATCTGTGCTCTGATTTTTATTATTTCCTTCCTTCTGCTTACACTGGGCTTTTCTTGTTGCTCTTTTTATTTTTAACTCTTTGAGTTGTAGAGTTAGATCATTTGTTACCATTTTTTCTAGATTTTTGCAATAGGCTTGTAGGGATATGAACTTCCCTCTCAAAACTGCTTTTGCTGTGTCCCATAGATTTTGGATAGTTGTGTTTTCATTGTCATTTGTTTCCAGGATGTTTTTAATTTCTTCCTTGATTTCTTTGATAACCCAGTCCTTGTTTAATAGCATGCTGTTTAGTCTCCATGTGTTTGGTTTCTTTGGATTTTTTTCATTGTAGTTAATTTCCAGTTTTATGCCACTATGATCTGAGAAGATGCTTGATATGATTTCTATCTTCTTGAATTTGAAGAGACTTTGCCTATGTCCCAAAATGTGGTCTATCTTTGAGAATGTCCCATGTGCACTTGAGAAGAATGTATATTCTGTGGCTTTGGGGTGGAATGTTCTGAAGATGTTGATTAATTCCATCTGGTCTAGCGAGTCATTTAGGATTGATATTTCTTTGCTGATTTTTTGTTTAGATGATTTGTCAAAGGGTGATAGTGGGGTATTAAAATCTCCTACTATAATTGTATTGCTATTAATCTCTCCCTTAATGTCCTCCAGCAGTTTTTTTATATATTGGGGTGCTCCCATGTTGGGTGCATATATATTTACCAGGGTTATTTCTTCTTGTTGGATTGCTCCCTTTAGTATTATGTAGTGGCCTTCATTATCTCTTGTTATGTCCTTCACTCTGAAATCTAATTTGTCAGATATAAGTATTGCTACCCCAGCTTTCTTTTCATTTCCATTCTCCTGGAAAACCTTTTTCCATCCCTTCACCCTCAGTCTGTGTGCATCTTTTTTTCTGAGGTGGGTTTCTTGTAGACAACAGATATATGGGTCTTGTTTTCTTATCCAATCCGACACCCTATGTCTTTTGATTGGAGCATTTAGTCCATTTACATTTAAAGTTATTATTGATGGATACTTATTTGATGCCCTTTTTATTCTATACCCCTGTGTTCCTTCTTTGCTTTCTATTTCTTTAATTTTACAGTAGACCCTTTAGCATTTCTTGCATTGCTGGTTTGGTGGAGATAAATTCCCTTAGTCTGTTTTTGTCTGTGAAGCTCTTGATTTCACCTTCACTTTTGATTGATAGCCTTGCTGGGTATAGTATTCTTGGATTCAGACCCTTCCTTTGCATGACTTTGTATATTTCATCCCATTCCCTTCTGGCCTGATAAGTTTCTGTGGAGAAATCAGTTGCTAGTCTGATGGGGGTTCCTTTATATGTAACTTTCTGTCTCTCTCTGGCTGCTTTTAAAATTCTTTTTTTGTCGTTGGTGTTTACCAGCTTAATTATAATGTGCCTATGGGTTGGTTTTCTGGGGTTCATTTTGCTTGGGACTCTGCGAGCATCTTGGATTTGTGTGGGTTTTTTCTTCTCTATCTCCGGAAAGTTTTCTGTCATTATTTCTTGAAATATGTTTTCCATGTCTTCCTCAATTCCCTTTCCTTCTGGAACCCCTATTATTCTAATATTGTTTTGTTTTGTATTGTCCCAAAGTTTCCTTAGACTTTCCTCCTGTTTTTTAATTTTTTTTTTCCAGAACTTGTTCTAATTGGGTATTTTTTTCCATCTTGTCTTCTAGCTCGCTGATGCGGTCCTCTGCTTCTTCTAATCTACTCTTGATGCTTTCTATTGAGTTCTTTACAGTAGCAATGTCATTTTTCATTTCTTCTTGGTTTTTCTTCATTTCCTCTTGGTTCTTACTCATATTGTCAAATTTGTCTTCCATTCTTTTTAGCCATCTTATGATCATTACTCTGAATTCTTGCTCAGGTAGGTTGCTTGCCTCTATCTCGTTTACTTCCTTTTCTGGTGAAGCCTGCTTTTCTTTCATATGCGGGGTGTTTTTTGGTCTCCCCATGATCTAGGATGTCTGGTTGTGTAGTTCTCTCTCTCCTGCTTTGATTTAAAGGCACAAAATACAACACAACCAGGTACAACACACAAGGCACTGAATAGAAATGTGTTTGCGATATTAATAACCACCAATAAGGGTGGTTGTGTTGACTAGAACCCAGAATAACAAAGACATACAATCAAACAAAAAGCATAGGCAAATCAATCTTATAACAAAAGGCATACAACTTCAGTATAGTTAATATTCAACATACAACTTCAAAGAGTTAGAGAGAAAGACTGGTTTTTGTTTTGTTTTGTTTTGTTTTGTTTTTAGGACAACTGCGAGGGAGGTGTGAATGGGTTTGGAGCAGGTAGTTGGAAATTAGATATATACAAGTAGGGTGAAATTTTAGGAGGGGGTAGACAGAAGGAATGGGGAAAATCTAGAGCAGGAAAGGGTTAAGATAAACGGGGGTACCAAAGGAAAAGATCGGAAAGAGGGTGAAGGCATAAAGGTAGGGTTGAGATAGAATAAAGCGTTGGAGAAGAAAAGATAGAAAAAGACTGTAGAACAGTAATCCTGAAATTAAAAAAAAAAAATAATATATATATATATATATATAATCAAATGAAATAAAAATAATAAAAATAAACAAAAGAAAATAAGATGAAAAAGGTAAATTAGTAGTAGTAATAATGTTGATTACATATATTATACAATGTAATAATTATAAAGATAAAATCAAGTGAGGAAAAAGAAAAAATAGTTTCTTAGTAAACGTTGCAAATAATGAAAACAAAAATAAAAAACAAAAATTTAAAAATTTAAAAAATTTTTTTCAAAAATTTAAATAAAATTTGCAGTAATGAAGGTCATTCGCTTCCTCTATTGTTATGATCCAGTCCTGATTTGTAGGCAGGTTTTGCTTTGTTTTTATTACACTAGAGTCACTTTGTGGATTAGCCTCTGGGGGCAGTGTTTCTAGGTTGACTTCCCAGACTAGAGCCTCTCCAGCTTTTTTTTTCTTTTTCTTTCGTCCTCTCTGAAGCAGGAACTACGGAGGGGGGGGAGGGGGCAAGTCCGAGCAACTGCAATCTCCCTCAACTCTCCGATATCCAACTCTCCGATATCCCTCCGAGGCAGATCCAAATGTGTTGCTCTTTAGATATCTCCCCTGTTAGGAGCCCCGTCCACTTTCACGGGTGATAACCGCCCAACAGCTGGGGCTTCTACTTGTAATCACCACCCTTGTCCTCCAGCTTCCGAGCGCGCAGGCTTTCTGTCTTCGCAGCAAGCACTCTCCACCCTCTCCCTGCAAAATCTGACCTTTTCGCCGAGCAGTGGGGCACTCCAGTGCAGCCAGGTGTTCGCACTGCCTGGGATCCGTGTTCTGGGGGTCACAGATGCTTGGTGGTCGCTGCGGCTGTGGATATTCAGGCCTCTGACACGATCCTATTTTCCTCTCATGATCTGATTTTATTTTTGTACAAATACATTTATGCGTAAAAGAAATCTAGAAGGACATTCTCAAAATTTGCAAGAGTGGTTTTTGTAGCTTGTGACTAATGACAGACATTTTTCTTCTTTTGTATTTTTGTACTTTCTGAAGTTTTGACAATAAAAAAATATTGCTATTATTGCCGAAGCTGGTTTGGCTCAGTGGTAGAGCATCGGTCTGCAGACTGAAAGGTCCCAGGTTTGATTCTGGTCAGGGGCATGTACATTGGTTGTGGCACATCCCCGGTAGGGGGAGTGCAGGAGGCAGCTGGTGGATGTTTCTCTCTCATCGACGTTTCTGGCTCTCTGTCTCTCTCCCTTCCTCTCTGTAAAAAATCAATAAAATATATTTTAAAAATATTGCTATTACACTTTTTAAAAAATAGTATAGCCAAGCCTTATCATTCACAGATTCTGTGCTTGCAAATCTGCCTTCTTGCTAAAATTTATTTGTAAACCTCAAATCAGTTCTCAAGGGGCTTTCACAGTCATTCATAGACATGCACAGATGGTGAAAATTTGAATTATTGGAATCCAGAAGTGCACATTCCCACCTGAGGTCAAACCAGGTGTGACACAGCTTCTTGCTTCAACTCTCCTGTTGTAAGCAAGTGTCCTTTTCACAGTTGATTTAGTGCTACATGTTTCACATTTTGTGCTTTTGTTGGTGAGCATGGCTCCCACAGGCTGAAGTGCTGTGTTCCAGCGTGCAAGTGGGCTGTTCTGGGCCTCACAGAGAATGCATGGATCTTAATAAGTTTCATCCAGGCATGAGTTAGTGCCATTGGCGGGGAGTTCAATGTTAATGAATCAACAATACATATTAAGCCGGTGTTTTTAAACATAATCCCACATAAAACAAGGTTGTATATTGACAGTTGATGAAAACTTTATGACTTGAGGCACACAGGAACCCAACCCTATATTTCCTCTAGGACCAATGGTTTGGTATTTGTGTATTCAGTGTTCACGGTGACTAACAAAACAAAGCAAGAATTGACTGTATCTATTTTAGGGGAACACTGTGAAGTTTAAATGAGATAGTGCCTTTAAAACACTTAGCGCAGTCTGGCATATAATACCTGCTCAATAAGCATTAGCTGTTAAAGGCACAGTGGCACTTGCTGAAAACCAAACCTGCGACAGGACAGTAAAAGAAGAGAGAAGGGTCTGAGATGGACTTTTAAGAGGCCAATGGATGAACAGAGAAGAGCATCCTAAGTAGGTGATGAGGCAAGGGCAGATCACCTAGTTGGACTAGGCAAGAGGGTGGAGAGCAGTTCAGATGGCTGTGGAGGGGTGAGGAAAGGAGGCTGAGGCAGACAGGGTTGTATGTGCTAGTCCTCAGTGCCATGCTAGGGTGCTAGGCTTGACCCCACAGGCCAGGCTCACCAGGGCAGGGGCCATCCGTTCACAACTCCAGGTGAATATTTATAGCCTGGAAGAATGGGGGCGATGGGGAACTCTGGTTGGGTTTGAGGAGCGGGGAGATGGCAGACATCCCCACCTAAAAGAGAGCTTAATTAGAAAAGCTAATATATTTTAAGCTCTGACCATGCACCTGACAGTAATCTGAGTATTTTAACATGAATTTATGACTCATTTCTCCTCCCCCAAGAACCCTAAGGTGTTTAGTATAACCAGCCTGGTTTTACAGATGGGGAAACTGAAGTTTGGAGTCACTTGCTCAGAGGCATTTGGGCTCCAGATGCCTGCTTTTGAACCCTCCTCGCCTATCATGGCCTCTGGGGGCATGGCTGATGCCTGGGAGATGTGTTGAGGAAAGGACAAGAATGGGGGAGCATGAGGAAACAGAAACTGGCAGGTGCTGGCCTGGGCACTCAGAAACCCCCTGCACACAAGGAGCATACAGCTACTAGCATTCTGGGCCCTCAGTGCCCGTCAGCATAGACTTGGCACACAGCAGGCACTCCGGCCTGAATGCCAGCCCGGTGACTCTGGGAACAAGAGTAACAGTTGTGCCCAGGGTTCTGCCCCTGGTTCCCAGGGCCTGAGACAGACCCAATCACACTCCTTCCCACCCAAGGGTCTCTTAGGAGGCAGGTCCAGGCTACTTACCCACTGTGTGTTCATCTGCTCTGGGCTCAGACACATTGCGGCCTTTCCAAGGTGGAATCTACAGGAGGAGAGAAGAGGACAGGGAATTTGCCCAGAAAGTCACAGCCTGCCCCTGATCCCATGCTAGTCCCCAGCTTCTTCTCCAGCCCAGAGGAACAGAGCTTTCCTCACGAGACCCAGACCCCTTCTCCCCCTCCCTCCTCAAGGACCACCTCCTCCAGAAACACAGGTCATGTCCTCGTATCCACAGGCTTGGTGTCTCTCTCCTCCTCCTGGGCCTTCTGGGCTGACCTCACCTTTCCACACAGGCCTTCGGCCACCTGGACCAAGAGGTCACAAGCAGAGGCCAAGCTTGTGACAGGGACCTCCAGGGCCACCCCAGCACAATCCTCCTGGTTCCCACAGCCCTCACCAAAAGTGCTGATTCCAGGCTCACCAACAGGGACCCCAGGAGCAGCAGAGCCCTCATGGCTTCTGTCCGCTGGTCCACCCGCCTACGCAGGCAGGAGTCCAGATCAATAGAGTTGGCCAAAGGTCTCTGAGGCCTGGGAAGTGGAGATTCATTGAGCTGCCTGGTGGGGCACAGGCTGTTTGTGCAAAGCCAAAGGCAGGGAGCTGGCAGGGGTGGGGGGGTTGGGGGTAGAACTATGAAGACCTTGTTTCCTTCTCTCTTTCCCAGATGGTGGGACTGGAAGCAGGAAGAGAGACTTGTGTTCTGGGGATGAAAAGGTTAAGGAGACCCAAGACAAGCTCCCTTCTATAGAGATTGTACAGTCCATTGGGGAGTGTGTTCCTTTTCTATTGCTGCCGAAATGGAACCATAAACTTCACAACTTAAAACAATATCCATTTAGCCGAAACTGGTTTGGCTCAGTAAATAGAGCGTCGGCCTCCAGATTGAAGGGCCCCAGGTTCAATTCCGGTCAAGGGCATGCCGTACCTTGGTTGCAGGCACATCCCCAGTGTGGTGTGTGCAGAAGGCAGCTGATCAATGTTTCTCTCTCATCGATGTTTCTGACTCTCTGTCCCTCTCTCTTCCTCTCTGCAAAAAATCAATAAAATATATTTTTTTAAAAAAGAAGTCTCTTTAAACACACACACACACACACACACACACACACACAAAACCAATATCCATTTATTTGTTCACAAATTCGTAGGTTGAAAGTCCAGCACTATGCAACTAGTTTTTCTGCTCAGGATCTCACAAAAGTGAGACCAAGGCTGAGTTCTCTGGAAGCTCTGGGGGAAAACCCACTTCCAAGCTATTCAGATTGCTGGCAGAATCCAGTTCCTTGCATTTGTCAGACTGAGGTCACTGTTTCTTTGCAGGCTGTAAGTCAGGGCCCACCCTTCGCTCCTAGAAGCTGCCTGAAATTCTGACCATACGGCCCTCTCCACTTCCCAAGCCAGCAGTTGAATCTCCTTTACCAGGAAGAATGCTGCTCCTCCTAAGGGCGCACCTGGTTAGTGTAATATCCCTATCTTAAAGTAACTCATTTGGGACCTTAGTTACATTTGCAGCATTCTTCCACAGAAGCATCTAGATGAGGGTTTGATTGGGTAACTGGGAGAAGGTAAGCATACACCTTGGGGGCCATCTTAGAATTCTACCAACTACAGAAATTGGAGCACAAAGGAGGGAGATGGGTGGACATATGTGTTTTTCCTGCCTTGGTTCACTATGGCATCCTGATTTATTTTATTTTCTTTCTTTTTTGGGGGGTGGGGGGGAAATCCACTCCTCCTTGATTCTCTGTGAGTCCCTAGTGCTGCCAACTCTACCCTCCATTCTAGGGCTGCGGGTGTGGCCTCGGTCTGACCAATAAGAACGTGGTATCTGGACCTCAGTGATTAGTTCAGGGAGAAGCATAGACACAAGTTTGTCCTGTCAGAGTCAACCTTGGGACTTTCTCACCAAAACTTTTGGGAAAGGGGCATTTTCTTCCCACTAGAGTCGCTGAGAATGGGAGCCTGAAGATGTTGATGGCCATCTTTGTCCCTATTTGTCTCAGGAAGGCCTGCCTGAGAATGAAGCCTGCACATAGTTGAAAAGCAGAGCAAACCAAAAAGGAATGAGTGGGTGCAATGTGGGAGGCAGTCTCCAAGATGGGCCCCAGTGTTCGCCTCCTGCAATCCATGCCCTTGTCATGGTCTTTTCCCACAGTGAGGCAGCGCTGTTCTGTGTGTCCAACAGGTAACTTTCTGGTGCTTGACCAGAAAATTCCAGATGGTTGACACTGCAATTAGATCAGATATTAAATCTATTTGATGTCATGGGTTTTTATTTTATTTTATTTAAATATATCTTTTATTTATTTTTTTTTTTTTTTTTTTTTTTTTTTACAGAGAGGAAGGAAGAGAGATAGAGAGTTAGAAACATCGATGTGAGAGAATCATCAATCAGCTGCCTCCTGCATGTCCCTACTTGGGATATGCCCGCAACCAAGGTACATGTCCTTGACCGGAATCGAACCTGGGGCCCTTCAGTCTGCAAGTTGGCGCTCTATCCACTGAGCCAAACCGGTTTCGGCATGGGCTTTTATTTTAGCATAAGCAACATAATTTTGGGCTGATGGCTGCTGTTTTGTTTGTTTGTTTGTGCCTGTAGGTCCCTCTGGCTATGCTATGGTAAGGACAGGATGCTCTGGTCCGTTAGGCTTGCACAATGGGAGATGGTCACTAGAAATGTTTTACCACACAGCCACAGCGGGGGAGAGGTGACCCCCTCAATGGAAAGTAGGAGACAAGAGGAAGAGGAAGGGGGAATAGATGTGAGCATCCAAATCCTTACAAATGTCCATCATTGATCAGTTGTTTCTCCCTGAACCTGTTGCATCAGACCTTACCATCCCTCATAAAAAGAAGAGGTACTCTCCACAACAAAAACCCTTAGCTTTTCTTCCCCCAAAGAAAAGATGCTCCAGCTCAAAAATATTTCTTTCTTGCCCTAGCTGGTTTGGCTTAGAGTGTCAGCCTATGGACTGAAGGGTTCAATTCCTGTCAAGGGCACATACCTGGGCTCTGGGCTTGGTCCCCAGTAGGGGGCGTGCAAGAGGCAGCCATTCAATGATTCTCATCATTGATGTTTCTACCTCCCTCTCCTTCTTCTCTGAATTCAATTAAAAAATGTGTGTGTGTGTGTGTGTGTGTGTGTGTGTGTGTGTGTGTGTGTGTGTTAAAGAAGCTTAGTGCCTATGTTTAAAATTTTTTCTTTCCTTTCACTGATAGCTCCCTTGCCCTGAACTCCTTCCTATAAAATTCTTCTACTTTGTACAACCCCTTGGAGCATACTTCTAGTTGTTAGGTGGGATGCTGCTCAATTCATAAATTGCTTAATAAAGCCAATTAGATCTTCAAATTAATTCAATTTAATTTTGTTTTTTATTTTTTTTTAATAAACACAAACTTGGCCAGTGCGTGCTGCTGTCTCCGAGGACTCTGAATCCTGAGCAGACCACATGGATAATGAGAAGAGTTGCAGGTCTAGCACTGTACCGCCTGTGCCCTGACCAGGCTGTCCCTGCTACAAGGCATGTCAGGATGCCTTTGAAAAACCAACTTAAGCAGTGAGGAAATTCAAATTCTCCATTTCATGTTGCAGGAGAGCTAGAGTAGAGGGCTCCAGGAACACAGCTTTCCGTGGTTTTACAATGTCATCAAGAACCCAAGGTATTTCTTTTTTTTTTTTTTTTCTTTTTTTTTGTTAATCCTCGCCCAAGGATATTTTTTACCACTGATTTTTTTTTTTTTTTTTAAAGAGTGGAAGGAAATTGAGGGGTGGGGGTGGGGGAGAAACATTGATGTGAGAGAGACACATCAATTGGTTGCCTCCCTCACGTGTCCTGACCTGGGCTGGGGATCGAACCTGCAGCCCAGGAACATGCCTTTGACCCAGAAGCAAACCCTTGACCCTTCAGTGCATGGGCTGGTGCTCTAACCACCAGGCAATAACAGCCAGGGCCCTTCTTTTTTTCTTTTCTATGGCCACTGGTGTACCGAAACCATGTAAACTCCAGTAAGAAGGAACTTCCCTTCCAGTAAATCCTTAAAAAATAAGAAAACCTTCCTCACAAAAATCCCAAGCAGGCCTCCCCGCATGGCTCATTGGCCAGAAGTGGGCCACCTGACACCCCTAAATCAACTCTGGTAAGAGTAGGAGATCTTCATAATTGGCTTAGGCCAGACATGTCCACCTCTTTTCATCTCGTGGTGCACATAAACTAATCACTAATATTCTGTGGCACACCAAAAAAATGTATTTGTTGCCAATGTGACAAAAAATAGGTATAATTTTATTCATTCATACCAAATAGCTATTGTTGTGTTGGCTGGGTTTTTTGTTTGTTTATTTGCTTTTTGCTTTGACAATCTAAGGGAAAGGAGGTCAGTGCCCTGCAAACAAACAGGTATTGCATGCTTTAAAAATTCTTGCAGCACACAGGTTGCAAATCGCTGACTTAGTTAAACACGACTGTGTCATGAAGCCTCCATAAGAACCCCAAAGGGCAGCTCATTGGCTGTTTTTAGGAGAACGGCATGTGGTGGAGCCACGCTCCACATGGACGGACGCTCCCTGCTCCGGACTTCACCCTCCGCCTCTCTTCACCTGGCTGTTGATTTGTGCCCTCTAATACCCTTTGTAATGAATTGGTAATCGAGTGAGTACGTGAGTTTTCCTGCGTTCTGTGAGCCGTTCTAGCAAACTAGTCAAACCTAAGGAGAGGAACCTCTGATTTATTTGTAGCCCGTTGGTCAGAAGCACCGATAATCATCTGGACTGTTCCTGGCATTTGAAGTGGAGGGCAGTCCTTTGGGGCTGAGCCCTTTACTTGTGGAATCTGGTGTCTGGTGTCTGCTTGGTGTGGGGAAGCCTTCCTACACACACATTGGAATTGAGTCCAGAAGCTCTTTTAGCCTTTCAGTGTTCCTTTGGGGAAGCACCCATCTCCTCCTCCTCCTCCTCCTCCTCTTTGTCCTCCTCCTCCTCCTCTTCCTCCTCCTCTTCCTCCTCCTCTTCCTCCTCATCCTCCTTCTCCTCTTCCTCCTCCTCGACATGGATACAATAAAAGACCATCCCATCCTCAGCTGAGGATGGAGTGGGCTCGTGATCCAGACCTAGCTAATCAGAACATTGCCTCTCTCTGTCCTCGGTGATTGGTTCCAAATGAACACCTGACTCAAAGCAAGCCACTGGGAGGCAACCCCTGGATTTTTGCTGGAATCATCAAGATAGAGGTTTTCTCTTTTTGTATAAGTTGCCACATTGGTAAGAAGTGAGCTCGGAGCTGCTGGCAGCCGTTTTTACCACCTCAGAGGAAACCCTGGCTGACATTACAGACAACACAGGTTAAAGCAGTCAGAGAATGGGAAAGACACCGTTGAGACCTGAGATCCCAAAACCCTGTAAGTCAGAAATACTTCCTATACCTTTCAGTTCTTGAACCAAGAAATTTCCTCTTTTTACCTAAGCCAATATTAGTTGCAACCCAAAGTCCTAACTGATGCAAGAACTTACACATTTTACCAGGAA